GGTTGTGGCTGCCTTGTTTATCGCTGCAGCTGGAGACTCAGCCGCTCGCCAGCTCTATGATTCCTTTCATATGTGCTGTTGGTTTTCCCCAGCCTACTTGGTTTGTTTTATTATTTTTTTTATTTTTTTTTATTTTTTTTATTTTTTGCAATCAAAATGTCCCATTGCACCAGGGCGGCCGCTGTAAGGAAAGGCCGAGTAAATTGTATCGCCGTCCCCCATCCACCAAACCTCCCGGACAAATTAGCTTCGGTGCCGTCTCTTCTAGAGCTCACGCCGCCGGCCGCGTCCAGCCGCGCTCGGCTGGTGTGGGCTCCGCACAGACTCCCCTCTATTCCGACCGCGGCCGACACGGAGCTGGCAGCCCGCAAATACCTGTTTGCTCTCTTTAAAAATACCGGTTACAGTATTCGCTCGCTCCAGCCTTTGGGAACGTTACCAGCATCTTTGAAGTCCTGGAATGAGAAAGCCAGAGAGCTCCTTGGCAAACTCCCCTCCTGTGTGAGCTGCGGAGTTGCTGACATGGGGGGAAAAAGGGAAAAAAAAAAAAAGAAAAAAAGAGGTTTAACAGCTGTGTGCTTGGAGTGCGGCATGAAGGGAGCACCGGGCTCCGTCTCAGCCCTGTTCACGGAGCGCATCTGCCCGTCCTGCGCTTTTATCGCTCTTCCTGAGCAGCGCTGGCCCGAACGGCGGCCGGGCTGCCCGCCCTTCCCCAGGGGCAGCGTCCCCCCGATGTGGGACGCGTGTGCGGGGAAACCCTTCGGCGCAGCCCCTCCGGGTGGGCTCCGTGCTCCCCCGGCCATCTGGAACCCCGTCTGCCGCGGGGTTCGTACCTTCCCTTGGAGTTCTGAGAAGAAGGATTTGGGGGTCCTGGTAGAGAGTAAATTGTCCATGAGCCAGCGGTGTGCCCTTGTTGCCAAAAAGGCCAATGGAATCCTGGGCAACCGAGATGATGGAGGGACTGGAGCATCTCCCGTGTGAGGAAAGGCTGAGAGAGCTGGGACTCTTTAGCCTGCAGAAAAGAAGGCTGAGGGGAGACCTTATTAT